CCCGAGGGTGTGGAATGGGCTTCCAGGGGAGGTGGGTGAGGTCCCATCGGTGCGCGTGTCCAAGGACAGGCTGGACATGCACATGGTGGGCATGTCGAGAGCGGAGCCGGCTGGAGCCGGGGGTCAGACTAGATGGCCCGGGAGACCCCTTCTGACTCGCTCTGTTTCTATGTTTCTAACAGCACCTCTTCCAACCTTTCGGCACAATGCCTAGGCTGCCCTGTATAACTAAGCCCACGTTCCCGCAACTGACCAAGCTCATCTTCCTCCCGCCATTTAACCCTGCCTGCTTCTCCCATGGCAGCATTTATATTGTAAGCCTCTTGGGGCGCAGACCTGGCCTCCTGTCCTTTGGAAGGCGCCACTGCACACGAAGGTGGCTTTTAAGTAGAGGCACGCTTAGACAAGGAAATGGGGAAGGGCCACAGGCCTGGATGATCCTGCGTCAAGCCATTCACTGAACTAAGCAACGCACCGGGGCAGCGCCTCCTCAGGGGGCAAGCAGCAGTGTGTTCGAGGCAACGAGGACATGACCCGGCTCGGTCCTGGGAGGGGCAGCGGCCACCTGGCGCCTCATCAGCCCCACGTCCCGGGGAACAGGCCACGCGTCCCCCAGCCACCGAAGGGGCCCTGAATCAAGTCACAGCAGATCTTCCCGAAGCAACAAGAATGGCCCAAGGCAGCACTCCCTGGAGCAGGCGGCCAGGCCCCAGGCAGAGGAAGGAGGAAGACCGAGGAGGGGCGCACCCACAACGCAGGACAGGCCCCAGCCTGGAGCCCGGAAGCGCCGGGCGGATTTCGCAGGGCTCTCCTCCGCGGGCCGCCCCGTCGGGGATGACCTGACCGCCCAGCGCAACAGCACCGGCCTCAACCCGGAAGCACCTGCTGGGAGAGCAGGCCCTCCGCCCCCCCTGACTCTCCCACCTGGAGGCAGAGGTGGGGCACCCATCCCAGAGCCTTCCCCTGGCAGACGGAGAGCCGGGGCCCCGCACCAAGCGCCCTGAAGCCCCCGCCGTGCCCAGGCGCCCGTGGTTCCCCTGCAGGCCGCGCCTGCGCTCGTCCACACGGGCCACTCCAGAGGAGCAGAACGCCAGATCATTCAGCTGCCTCCTCACCCCCTCTCTTGAGCGTGTCCAGCCGAACCGGTCCTCCTGAGGTTTCTCCTCCTGCGGCAGCCCAGGGCAGCTGCCCGGCGGCTCAGAGGCTTAAATGTTTAATGGCCCTCCCATTTTAGAGCGAAAATACCTTGCGGTGGTGAGAAAGTGAAAGGAAGTGGAGTGGAGCTTTATCGACCCATAAAAACCAGCAAGGGGTCTTTGGGGCAGCGGGAGTGGGGGAGTAGACCAAATTCTTGGAGCCTTTAAAAAGGTATAAAGATCAAGGGAGGAAGGCGTTTCATTGCGTTCCCAGCTCTCCCCTCCACAACTCCAAAAATACGACATCAACACACACAATGATTGTCTACGGATTGCTCCAAAGGAGGGAAAACCACGTGCCAATTTGCCAGAGGCTTCGGTGGCCATCCAACCCCCCCCGCCTCCCCCCCTTGGCCTCTCCCCTCTCCCCAGAAGCCGATCGATCGATCGCCACTTCTGCATGTCTCCCCACCAAAGGACGATCTTGAAAGCTGAAGAGCCGAAAGCATCATGAGTGGCGCCAAGAGGGTTAAAGCGCGACCTCAAGTCAAAGCCACGCGCTGCAGGGGAAGGGGCTGCGGGGGGCCTGGGAGATGTGGCTTCCGGTCCCCACCCAGCCATGCAGCTCCTGGGGTGATTTTGGGCCCGTGACGGAGGCCAGCCCGCCCACCTCACAGGGCTGTTGTTGCGAGGATGAAATGGGGGAGGGGGACGACGTGAGCCGCTGGGGCCTTTTGCAGGAGCAAAACCGGCAGGCCAGAATTGCAACGCAGCAGCGAGCAGCCAGGCCTGGCGCTGCACGTGGCCCCCCAGAGGACTGGCCTGGCGCTCAAGGGCTGGGACACCCGCCCCTCTGGTGCGCAGCGCCTTCCAGCCCTCCAGAGAAGCTGCCCACGCCCCCCCTTTCACTCCGGGGAGCCCCCCCCCCCAGGGAGAGGCCCCCTTCCCTGTTGATAAGGCAAGCAAAGATCTGCAAGGAGCCCGGGGGCAGGAAAACCCAGGACCCTCCTGGCGGCCTTCAGCAGGTGACAAGCTACACCTGTTGAAGTTCCCGGTCCTGCACACACCTCTTAAAGCGACAGGAGCTTTTAGCTTTGGCAATTGGCCACCCTCCATGAAAGAGCCAAGGGAGTCCCCCCGCACCCCATAACACGCAACATGTTTTAGGACAGGGTCCCTGTGGCTCTGGGCACTTCACCTCACCCCCCCCCCCGGCCAGGCGGGCACTGCACCCCCCCCCACAGCACAAAGATTTTAACGGCACTTCAGGACTCCTTTGGACGGCGTTTCTTCTGCCTAGATCTGGAGAGCACTTTGTGGAGACCCGGACCTTCTGCCCTGCTATAGTTCCCCTGCCCCTCACCGAAGGCTGTGCTGGCCGGGGCTGATGGGAGTTGGGACTCTGCAGCGCCACAAATGGCCCAGGCATCGCATGACCCAAAGGGCAGGCAAGAGGGACTCCTGGTGGTGGAGACTCCCAGCATGCCTGTGCCCGGGGGGCCTTCACCCACAGCTCGCTGCACCCCCCGCCCGCCCGCCCAGCCTGCCAGGCTCCAGTCCCTTCGCAAGTCCCTCCCTGGCCAAAGCGAAACTCTGCACATGGGCCTGAGCCACTCCCTGTGGCAGCCGACCCGCCACCCCTTGCCAATGGAGCAGCCTCTCCTGCCGCTGACAGCCAGAGCCACGCAGACCAAGATGGCAACCTGGCCACGACCCTGGGAGCGCGCGCCCTGCGAGCGCCCAGAAAGCCGCATCTGCCCGGCGCAGCAGCGTCTGAGGGGGGAACGTGCGCCCAGGCGCAGCCACGGCTGGATGGGACCTGGGGACCCCCGTGGAGCGAGGCGGCTCCCAGGCCCCTCACCATGGCGCTGTGCTGCGCCCTCCAGGGCAGGGAGAAGCACGGCCCGTGCAGAGGGGAGGGTGCAGGGGCCCTGACCTGCTTGTGGGGCTCCCACTGGGGCAGCCCACCGGCCGGGCGCCAGAAGGCCTGCCCCCCAGGCACTCCCCACGCCCTCCTGCACTGGGCGCCCGCAGAAGCCGGACCGGTGGCAGGGGCCAGCGCCGGAGGGGCTTGGAGCCGGCCTGCCTGCCCTCCCAGGTGCTTCCAGGCCCCGGGCAGCCCAGCAGCCGCTGCCTGCCTGCCTGTGCCCCCTCCGGATTCCAGCGCAGGAGGTGCCCGTCTCCCCCCTGCTCAGGGACGCCCCACCACCGCCGGAAAGGCTGGCAAGCGCTCCAGCCGCGGCCCCTTTAACGCCCGGCCTGCATTTCCTCCCTGGTTCGCCAGATGCCTCCGACCTCGGGATTACGAGGCTCTCGGGCTGAACGGATTCTTTGCAACAGACGCGAAAGCTGGAGAGGCGAGGCGAGGCGAGGCGAGGCGAAGAGAGCTGTTCGTGCGCTCATCCCCGGTCATGTGAAAGGAGCGGAGCCCGGGTGGGGGTGCGGGGGATGCAGCCCGGTTGCAAGTTAACTCTTACGAGCCAGGAATGCCCGCGCCGTGCAAGGGGACCGTTCTTTTTCAAAGCAAAGCAAAGCAAAGCAAAACACACGCCTTTGCAGAGGGCAGCGAACGCAGCGCCGGGTGGCAGGCGCACGGAGCCTGCCCGGGGGGGGGGGGCGGGGGGCGCCTCTCCGCCAAGGCCACCCGAGCCACCATGACGCAGCCCGTCGGCTCCTGCCCTTCGCGGTCCCGCAGCGGCTCTTCCTCCGAAGCCAGCCGGCGGCTCCGCAAGGGGAGCCGCGCTCCTCGGGGAAGCAGCCCGAGGCCCCCGCCGCACCTGCCTCTGCTCAGCAGGGAGAGGCACGGGAACGCCAAGCGGCACAAGGCGCCTCTTCCCGGCATGGACACGCTCCTGAGCGGGCGGCAGCGCCCACCGACGCCGCCCCACAAAAGCGGGCAGGGGCCCTCGCCCCCGGCGACTCCCCCGGGCCGTGGGGTAGACCGGCGCGGCGACTGGAGGCTCCACGCCTCCAGATCCCGGCATCCGAGGCCGGGGAAGCGGCCCGCCGGCCGTCCAGCACGTGCTCCGATGCCGAGCCCCCCCCCCGCTGGGTGCCCCCCTGCTCTTCCGGACGACGGCCCAGCACTGCTGAGCGCCGGCCGGGCTCGCCGGGGCGGGGGCGAGCGGCCGCAGCCCGGCGCATCTGGAGGGCACGCAGCAGGACAAAGGAGAGGCGCGGCTCCGGCGGAACCCAGCCCGGCACCGCCTGCCTGGGGGCAGCCCGGCCACTCCAGGCAGGCGGAGGCCTCCCCGCAGCGCCGCCTTTGCTCAGCCTGCCTCAGTTGCTCCACTGGCCTCCCCGCCCGCAGCTGCCGCAGGCCACTGGCCTCCCGCCCCCTCTGGCTGCAGGTGCCCCCCCTGCGGGGGAGGGGCACCCCCCCGAGGCCAGCCAGGCAGCAGGATGGCAAGCACGCGCAGATGCCCCCCCCGACACCCCCCCGCAAGCTTTCGCCTGGGCTGCCCCGGTCGGGCTGGCCGAGCTCGCTCAGCTTGGCAAGAAATCAACTCGCCCTTCTCGGGAAAAGGGCCACCGGCCAGGCAAAACCGGAGCGCCTCCGCTGCCCCATATGCGGGGGGCGGCAGCTCACGCGGACCCACCCTCTGGGATTATTTTGGGATGTTTCACTTGCAGGGGAGGGGGAGAAGAGGCAGGCGAGCCCGAGCCAGGCCGCCCCCCCCCCCCCGCTCCCATCGAGTGCCCCACCGGGCCGAGCTCCCCGCGGCTGCAACTCCAGGCAAGCCCGACGGACAGAAAGCGCTTTACGAAATAACCCGCCCGAGGAGGAAAAAACGGGATCCGGAGATGTGGGGGCACGCGGAGCCCCCGCCGCGCCGCGCACGCCCCCTCGCGCGCCCCATTTACCATCCAGGTGCTCCTTTAATCCGCTCGGCCTCCTCCGTCTTCAGGGCGCCCCGGCCATGAACGGGCTCGCCCGCCTCGTCCTTGGAGCCATGCAGGGAAAGCGGGGTGGAGGAACGCGCCGAAGATCCCGAGCGGCCGCAAGCAGCAGAAAGGCCAAAATCCGGGCTGCGTGCAGGCGGCGACGGCTGAGCCCCCGAAGCAGTCTCGCGTCGCTTTCCGGCCAGCTGGCGGCGCGCGGCTCCCCCGACGCGGCCGCCCCTCCGCCTCGGCCGTCTGGCAGGAGCAGCTCCCGGGCACAGCCGAGCCGAGCCGGCCCGGCATGGGCGGCCGCGACCGGCGGCGCTTCACAGGCGGCGGCGGTGGCGGCAGCAGCAGCGCAAGCAGCCGCAGACAGCGCCTCGTTGCGGGCAGCCCGGCCGTGCAGCCCGGC